GCAACCATCCTGCTTGGGGGGCAACCATCCCACCCCTGAGGGCTACCATCCTGCCCCAGGGGGCAACTAACCCACACCCTGGGGGGATCCCACTCTGGGGGCAACGATCCTGCCCTGGGGGGCAACCATCCCACCCCGGGGGGCCACCATCCCATACCCTGAGAGGATCCCACCCCAGGGGGCCACCATCCCACCCGGGGGGGCAACCAGCCCACACCCTGGGGGCAATGATCCTGCCCTGGGGAGCAACTGTCCCACACCGGGGGGGCAACAAACCCACCCTGAGGGCTACCATCCTGCCCCAGGGGGCAACCATCCCACTTGGGGGGCAACTGTCCTGCCTGGGGGGCAACCATCCTGCTTGGGGGGCAACCATCCCACCCCTGAGGGCTACCATCCTGCCCCAGGGGGCAACCATCCCACTTGGGGGGCAACTGTCCTGCCTGGGGGGCAACCATCCTGCTTGGGGGGCAACCATCCCACCCCTGAGGGCTACCATCCTGCCCCAGGGGGCAACCATCCCACTTGGGGGGCAACTGTCCTGCCTGGGGGGCAACCATCCTGCTTGGGGGGCAACCATCCCACCCCTGAGGGCTACCATCCTGCCCCAGGGGGCAACCATCCCACTTGGGGGGCAACTGTCCTGCCTGGGGGGCAACCATCCTGCTTGGGGGGCAACCATCCCACCCCTGAGGGCTACCATCCTGCCCCAGGGGGCAACCATCCCACTTGGGGGGCAACTGTCCTGCCTGGGGGGCAACCATCCTGCTTGGGGGGCAACCATCCCACCCCTGAGGGCTACCATCCTGCCCCAGGGGGCAACTAACCCACATCCTGGGGGGATGCAACTCTGGGGGCCACCATCCCACCCTAGGGGGCAACCAGCCCACACCCTGGGGGGATCCCCCTCTGGGGGCAACGATCCTGCCCTGGGGGGCAACTCCCCCACCCCGGGGGGCCACCAGCCCCCCCTGGGGGGCAACCATCCCACTTGGGGGGCAACCAATCCTGCGCCCTGTGGGCCATCATCCTGCTTGGGGGGCAATGAGCCCCCCCCGAGGGCTACCTTCCTGCCCCAGGGGGCAACCATCCCACTTGGGGGGCAACTGTCCTGCCTGGGGGGCAACCATCCTGCTTGGGGGGCAACCATCCCACCCCTGAGGGCTACCATCCTGCCCCAGGGGGCAACTAACCCACACCCTGGGGGGATCCCACTCTGGGGGCAACGATCCTGCCCTGGGGGGCAACCATCCCACCCCGGGGGGCCACCATCCCATACCCTGAGAGGATCCCACCCCAGGGGGCCACCATCCCACCCGGGGGGGCAACCAGCCCACACCCTGGGGGCAATGATCCTGCCCTGGGGAGCAACTGTCCCACACCGGGGGGGCAACAAACCCACCCTGAGGGCTACCATCCTGCTCCAGGGGGCAACTAACCCACATCCTGGGGGGATCCCACTCTGGGGGCAACGATCCTGCCCTGGGGGCCACCATCCTGCTCCAGAGGGCAACCAGCCCCAACCTGGGGGGCAACTGTCCTCCCTGGGGGGCAACAAGCCCACCCTGGGGGCTACCATCCTGCTCTGGGGGGCAACCATCCCACACCCTGGGGGCAATGATCCTGCACCCTGGGGGCCACCATCCTGCTTGGGGGGCAATGATCCTGCACCCCAAGGGCTACCATCCTGCTCCAGGGGGCAACTAACCCCCATCGTGGAGGGATCCCACTCTGGGGGCAACAATCCTGCCCTGGGGGCCACCATCCTGCTCCAAAGGGCAACCAGCCCCAACCTGGGCGGCAACTGTCCTCCCTGGGGGGCAACAAGCCCCCCCTGGGGGCTACCATCCTGCTCTGGGGGGCAACCAGCCCACACCCTGGGGGGATCCCACTCTGGGGGCAACAATCCTGCCCTGGGGGCCACCATCCTGCTTGGGGGGCAATGATCCTGCCCCCCGAGGGCTACCATCCTGCTCCAGGGGGCAACTAACCCCCATCGTGGAGGGATCCCACTCTGGGGGCAACGATCCTGCCCTGGGGGCCACCATCCTGCTCCAGAGGGCAACCAGCCCCAACCTGGGGGGCAACTGTCCTCCCTGGGGGGCAACAATCCTGCCCTGGGGGGCAACTGTCCTGCACCAAGGGGGCAACAAGCCCACCCTGGGGGCTACCATCCTGCTCCAGGGGGCAACCAGCCCAGACCCTGGGGGGATCCCACTCTGGGGGCAACTGTCCCACCCCGGGGGGCCACCATCCCACACCCTGGGGGCTACCATCCCACCCTGGGGGGCAACTGTCCTGCACCAAGGGGGCAACAAGTCCACCCTGAGGGTGTCCCACCCCAGGGGGCCACCATCCCACCCTGGGGGGCAACCATCCCACACCCTGGGGGCAACAATCCTGCCCTGGGGGGCAACTGTCCTGCACCAAGGGGGCAACAAGCCCACCCTGAGGGCTACCATCCTGCTCCAGGGGGCAACCAGCCCAGACCCTGGGGGGATCCCACTCTGGGGGCAACTGTCCCACCCCGGGGGGCCACCATCCCACACCCTGGGGGCTACCATCCCACCCTGGGGGGCAACTGTCCTGCACCAAGGGGGCAACAAGTCCACCCTGAGGGCTACCATCCTGCTCTGGGGGGCAACCAGCCCACACCCTGGGGGGATCCCACTCTGGGGGCAACAAGCCCACCCTGAGGGCTACCATCCTGCTCTGGGGGGCAACAATCCTGCCCTGGGGGGCAACGAGCCCACCCCGAGGGCTACCATCCTGCCCCAGGGGGCAACTAACCCACACCCTGGGGGGATCCCACTCTGGGGCAACAATCCTGCCCTGGGGGGCAACTGTCCCACACCAAGGGGGAAACAAGCCCACCCTGGGGGCTACCATCTTGCTCCAGGGGGCAACCAGCCCAGACCCTGGGGGGATCCCACTCTGGGGGCAACTGTCCCACCCCGGGGGGCCACCATCCCACACCCTGGGGGCTACCATCCCACCCTGGGGGGCAACTGTCCCATACCGGGGGGCCACCATCCCACCCCCTGGGGGCTACCATCCCACCCTGGGGGGCAACTGTCCCATACCGGGGGGCCACCATCCCACCCCCTGGGGGCTACCATCCCACCCTGGGGGGCAACTGTCCCATACCGGGGGGCCACCATCCCACCCCCTGGGGGCTACCATCCCACCCTGGGGGGCAACTGTCCCATACCGGGGGGCCACCATCCCACCCCCTGGGGGCTACCATCCCACCCTGGGGGGCAACTGTCCCATACCGGGGGGCCACCATCCCACCCCCTGGGGGCTACCATCCCACCCTGGGGGGCAACTGTCCCATACCGGGGGGCCACCATCCCACCCTGGGGGGCAACTGTCCCACCCCGGGGGGCCACCATCCTACCCTGGGGGGCAACCAGCCCACACCCTGGGGGGCAACGATCCTGCTTCAGGGGGCAACAATCCTCCCCTGGGGGGCAACTGTCCCACACCGGGGGGCCACCATCCCACCCTGGGGGGCAACCATCCTGCTCCAGGGGGGCAACCATCCCAACTCTGGGGGCCACCATCCCATACCCTGAGAGGATCCCACTCTGGGGGCCACCATCCCACCCTGGGGGGCAATGATCCTGCCCTGGGGGCCACCATCCCACACCCTGGGGGCCACCATCTCATCCTGGGGGGCAACCAGCCCACACCATGGGGGGATCCCACTCTGGGGGCAATGATCCTGCCCTGGGGGGCAACAAGCCCACCCTGGGGGGCAACCAGCCCACACCATGGGGGGATCCCACTCTGGGGGCAACGATCCTGCTCTGGGGGGCCACCATCCTACCCTGGGGGGCAACCAGCCCACACCCTGGGGGGCAACGATCCTGCTTCAGGGGGCAACAATCCTCCCCTGGGGGGCAACTGTCCCACACCGGGGGGCCACCATCCCACCCTGGGGGGCAACCATCCCACACCCTGGGGGCAACCATCCCAACTCTGGGGGCCACCATCCCATACCCTGAGAGGATCCCACTCTGGGGGCCACCATCCCACCCTGGGGGGCAATGATCCTGCCCTGGGGGCCACCATCCCACACCCTGGGGGCCACCATCTCATCCTGGGGGGCAACCAGCCCACACCATGGGGGGATCCCACTCTGGGGGCAATGATCCTGCCCTGGGGGGCAACAAGCCCACCCTGGGGGGCAACCATCCCCCCTTGGGGGGCAACCCTTACCTGTTGGACTCCTCCCCTTTGTAGTAGTCGGCCGCCTGCTCGTAGTGGGCAATGGCCTGGGAGGGAGGGAGGGCAACCAAGAGTCAGGGACGGGCAAGTCAATTTAAAAAATAAATACATCTATTTAAAGAATTTTTAAAAACTCGAGATATTTATCTAAAATTCAGGAAAAAAAGGAGAAATATGGAGCTCCCCTCCCTCCCCCCCCGCCGGCTCCGAGCCGCCCACGCGGCTTCCGTTGCCATCTGGTCCCGGCCACCTCCCGGCCCAAGGTGGCAACCGGCCCCGCTTCCCGCCGAGCCAAAGTCCTTCGGGTGCCAACCAGGCCAAAAAATCCCAAAATCAAGAAAAAACAACCCAAAAAATCAGCTTCTTCCTTCTTCTCGCCTCGTTTCTGACGGGGGCGGATCGGCTCCCAGTGGCCCGTGGGCGAGTTTCACACCCCTGGGCTTGCCAACGGGCCACCGGGCAACCAAATCGGGAAGGAGCTGAAGCGGCCGAGGAAGAGGAGGGTTTTTTTTCCCCAGAATCTTGTTTTTCTTTGAAATGAACCCATTTTAGAGCCCAGGAATTAAGAAAAAAACCACCCCGTTGAGCCCGAAGCCACGGGGCAAGGAATGGGCCAGGAAATCGTTGGCCACCTTGGCCACCAGGGGAAGGTGCTGGCTCATGGGCGACTTGCCTACAGCCAACATGGCCAACGTCAACTTGACCATGACCTTCCTCGACCTTCTGGCCACCCCAGGAGACCGTTGGCCACCTTGGCCACCAGGGGAAGGTGCTGGCTCATGGGCGACTTGCCTACAGCCAACATGGCCAACGTCAACTTGACCATGACCTTCCTCGACCTGCTGGCCACCCCAGGAGATCATTGGCCACCTCGGCCACCAGCCCATGGTGCTGGCTCATGGGCAACTTGGCCATGGCCAACGTGACCAACTCTCCCTCAACCTTCTGGCCACCCCAGGAGACCATTGGCCACCTCGGCCACCAGCCCATGGTGCTGGCTCATGGGCAACTTGGCCATGGATAACGTGGCCACGACCTCTCTTGACCTGCTGGCCATCCCAGGAGACTATTGGCCACCTTGGCCACAAGGCCACCTTGCTAGCTCATGGGCAACTTGGCCATGGCCAACACGACCACAACCTCCCTCAAACTTCTGGCCACCCCAGGAGACCATTGGCCACCTTGGCCACAAGGTTACGTTACTGGCTCATGAGCAACTTGGCCATGGCCAACTTGACCAACCCTCCCTCAACCTTCTGGCCACCCCAGGAGACCGTTGGCCACCTTGGCCACCAGCCCATGGTGCTGGCTCATGGGCAACTTGGCCATGGCCAACGTGACCACAACCTCCCTTGATCTGCTGGCCATCACAGGAGACCACTGGCCTTCTTGGCCACAAGAGCATGTTGCTGGTTCATGGCCAACGAGACCACCACGGCCAACGAGACCACCACAGTCAAGACCATGGCCAAGACCACAGCCAACAAGACCACCACAGTCAAGACCATCATGGCCAACGAGACCACCACGGCCAACGAGACCATGGCCAAGACCATCAGAGCCAAGACCATGGCCAATGAGACCACCACAGCCAAGACCATCATGGCCAACGAGACCACCACGGCCAACGAGACCATCACAGTCAAGACCATGGCCAAGACTATGGCCAATGAGACCACCACGGCCAAGACCATCATGGCCAACAAGACCACCACAGCCAACGAGACCATCACAGCCAAGACCATGGCCAAGACCACAGCCAACGAGACCACCACAGTCAAGACCATCATGGCCAACGGGACCACCACGGCCAAGACCATGGCTGTGACCACGGCCAACAAGACCATGGCCAAGACCATCATGGCCAACGAGACCACCGCGGCCAAGGACGGTTACCTTCTCGATGTCCACCAGCTCCGTCTCGTAGATCTCAGCTATCGATATGTGGTGCTTCGCGGCGATGGTGAAGCGACCCTGAGAGGAGGAGGAGGTGGAGGAAGGTGAGGAAGGTCAGAGCCTTCGGCCTCCTCACTCCCTGAGGAAGAAGAGGGACAGGACGGGGCCTACCATGTCCGTGTAGATCTCGATGGCTCGGATCAAGCAGTTGATGGCTTCTGCGGAGGGAAGAGAAGAGATTTTGGGGCGTTTTCAGCAGATCTGAGGGGTCCTTCACCCCAAAAAGCTCACAGCTCTGATCTGGGGGTCTTTCACCCCAAAAATCTCATGGCTTGGACTTGGGGGGGGTCTTCACCCCCAAAAACTCTCAGGGCTGAGATCCGGGGTCCCAAAAACTCACACCTCAAATCTGGGTCTTTCACCCCAAAAAGCTCATGGCTCAAATTTTGGGGTCTTTCACCCCAAAAGCTTCTGGTTCACATCTGAGGGGTCCTTCACCCCAAGAAGCTCACGGCTCTGATCTGGGGGGTCTTCACCCCAAAAATCTCATGGCTTGGACTTGGGGGGGGTCTTCACCCCCAAAAACTCTCAGGACTGAGATCCAGCCTCTTGACCTGCTGGCCATCCCAGGAGACCATTGGCCACCTTGGCCACAAGGTTACGTTACTGGCTCATGAGCAACTTGGCCATGGCCAACTTGACCAACCCTCCCTCAACCTTCTGGCCACCCCAGGAGACCGTTGGCCACCTTGGCCACCAGCCCATGGTGCTGGCTCATGGGCAACTTGGCCATGGCCAACGTGACCACAACCTCCCTTGATCTGCTGGCCATCACAGGAGACCACTGGCCTTCTTGGCCACAAGAGCATGTTGCTGGTTCATGGCCAACGAGACCACCACGGCCAACGAGACCACCACAGTCAAGACCATGGCCAAGACCACAGCCAACAAGACCACCACAGTCAAGACCATCATGGCCAACGAGACCACCACGGCCAACGAGACCATGGCCAAGACCATCAGAGCCAAGACCATGGCCAATGAGACCACCACAGCCAAGACCATCATGGCCAACGAGACCACCACGGCCAACGAGACCATGGCCAAGACCATCAGAGCCAAGACCATGGCCAATGAGACCACCACAGCCAAGACCATCATGGCCAACGAGACCACCACGGCCAACGAGACCATGGCCAAGACCATCAGAGCCAAGACCATGGCCAATGAGACCACCACAGCCAAGACCATCATGGCCAACGAGACCACCACAGCCAACGAGACCACCACAGTCAAGACCATGGCCAAGACTATGGCCAATGAGACCACCACGGCCAAGACCATCATGGCCAACAAGACCACCACAGCCAACGAGACCATCACAGCCAAGACCATGACCAAGACCACAGCCAACGAGACCACCACAGTCAAGACCATCATGGCCAACGGGACCACCACGGCCAAGACCATGGCTGTGACCACGGCCAACAAGACCATGGCCAAGACCATCATGGCCAACGAGACCACCGCGGCCAAGGACGGTTACCTTCTCGATGTCCACCAGCTCCGTCTCGTAGATCTCAGCTATCGATATGTGGTGCTTCGCGGCGATGGTGAAGCGACCCTGAGAGGAGGAGGAGGTGGAGGAAGGTGAGGAAGGTCAGAGCCTTCGGCCTCCTCACTCCCTGAGGAAGAAGAGGGACAGGACGGGGCCTACCATGTCCGTGTAGATCTCGATGGCTCGGATCAAGCAGTTGATGGCTTCTGCGGAGGGAAGAGAAGAGATTTTGGGGCGTTTTCAGCAGATCTGAGGGGTCCTTCACCCCAAAAAGCTCACAGCTCTGATCTGGGGGTCTTTCACCCCAAAAATCTCATGGCTTGGACTTGGGGGGGGTCTTCACCCCCAAAAACTCTCAGGGCTGAGATCCGGGGTCCCAAAAACTCACACCTCAAATCTGGGTCTTTCACCCCAAAAAGCTCATGGCTCAAATTTTGGGGTCTTTCACCCCAAAAGCTTCTGGTTCACATCTGAGGGGTCCTTCACCCCAAGAAGCTCACGGCTCTGATCTGGGGGGTCTTCACCCCAAAAATCTCATGGCTTGGACTTGGGGGGGGTCTTCACCCCCAAAAACTCTCAGGACTGAGATCCAGGGTCCCAAAAAGCTCATAGCTCCAATTTTGGGGTCTTTCACCCCAAAATCTCACAGCTTGGAGTTGGGGGGTCTTCACCCCAAAACCTCACAGCTCCGATCTGGGGGGTCTTCACCCCAAAAGCTTCTGGTTCAGATTTGGGGGGAGGGGTCTTCACCCCAAAAAAATCTCAGGGCTGAGATCTGGCGTCCCCAAAACTCACACCTCAAATCTGGGTCTTTCACCCCAAAAAGCTCATAGCTCCAATTTGGGGTGCCAATGAGACCACCACGGCCAAGACCATCATGGCCAACAAGACCACCACAGCCAACGAGACCATCACAGCCAAGACCATGGCCAAGACCACAGCCAACGAGACCACCACAGTCAAGACCATCATGGCCAACGGGACCACCACGGCCAAGACCATGGCTGTGACCACGGCCAACAAGACCATGGCCAAGACCATCATGGCCAACGAGACCACCGCGGCCAAGGACGGTTACCTTCTCGATGTCCACCAGCTCCGTCTCGTAGATCTCAGCTATCGATATGTGGTGCTTCGCGGCGATGGTGAAGCGACCCTGAGAGGAGGAGGAGGTGGAGGAAGGTGAGGAAGGTCAGAGCCTTCGGCCTCCTCACTCCCTGAGGAAGAAGAGGGACAGGACGGGGCCTACCATGTCCGTGTAGATCTCGATGGCTCGGATCAAGCAGTTGATGGCTTCTGCGGAGGGAAGAGAAGAGATTTTGGGGCGTTTTCAGCAGATCTGAGGGGTCCTTCACCCCAAAAAGCTCACAGCTCTGATCTGGGGGTCTTTCACCCCAAAAATCTCATGGCTTGGACTTGGGGGGGGTCTTCACCCCCAAAAACTCTCAGGGCTGAGATCCGGGGTCCCAAAAACTCACACCTCAAATCTGGGTCTTTCACCCCAAAAAGCTCATGGCTCAAATTTTTAGACATTTTTTCCCCCTTCAGGGTTTTTTTCCCCCATTTTTTCCCCTCTTTTCCCCCTTCAGGGTTTTTTTTCCCCATTTTTTTCCTCTCTCCAGGGGCTTTTTCCCCATTTTTTCCCTCTCCCCAGCTTTTTTATTCACTTTTTTTTCCCTCCCCAGAGATTTTTTCCACATTTTTCTCGCCTCTCCTCAAAAAAAAGCCTCTCCACCACTAAAGCAACACCCTGGCTCCGAAAAACACCGTCCTGACCCCAAAAACCAACATCTCGGCGCCAAAAACACCCTCCTGGCACCAAAATTAACCCTCTCAACCCCTAAAGCAACATCTTGGGCCCCAAAATCACCTTCCTGGCCCCAAAAGTCCCCATTTTTTTTTCATCTCCAGGGCTATTTTTTAACATTTTTTTGCCTCTCCAGGGGTTTTTTCCTCCCTTTTTCCTTTTATTTCTCTCCAGGGACTTTTTCCACATTTTTTTTTCCTCCCCAGGGGTGGTTTTTTCCCATTTTTTTCCCTCTCCAGGGTTTTTTTTTCCCCCACATTTTTTCCCTCTCCAGGGGATTTTTTCCCCCCATTTTTTTTCCCTTTCCAGGGATTTTTTTCCCATTTTTTTGTTTCTCCAGGGTTTTTCTTCCCCACATTTTTCCTCTCTCCAGGGATTTTTTTCCCCACATTTTTTCCTCTCTCCAGGGATTTTTTTTTTCCCATTTTTTTTTGCCTCTCCAGGGCTTTTTTCCCATTTTTTTTTTTTTTTTTCCAGGTTTTTTTTTTTCCCCCCCTTTTTTTTTTTTTTTTTTTTTTTTTTTTACAGAGACAAAGTAAAAGTATCAGTTTTGTTGCATTCACATTTACTTCTAATACTTTTGCACTGACCTCAGCACCAAAAAACATGAACAGACTCCAAATTACCTTTATGTGCAGTTGCCGGAATTTACAGCCCTGTTCAGAGCGCCCTCTCAAGCCCAAAACCAACACCTTGGCCCCAAAACCACCCTCCCAACCCCAAAACCAACCCTCTCGACCCCTACAGCAACATCTTGGGCCCCAAAAACCACCCTCCTGGCACCAAAAACCACCCTCCTGGCACCAAAATCAACATCTTGTCCCCAGATCCGACCCTCTCGACCCCAAAACCAACACCTTGGCCCCAAAAACACCCTCCTGGCCCCAAAACCAACCCTCCCGACCCCTAAAGCAACACCCTGGGTCCCAAAAACACCTTCCTGGCCCCAAAAACCACCCTCCTGGCACCAAAAAACAACCGTCCCAGCCCCAAAAATCAACATCTTGTCCCCAAAACAGAGCCTCTTGAGCCCAAAACCACCCTCCCAACCCCAAAACCAACATCTCGGTCCCAAAAAACACCCTCTTGGCCCCAAAACCAACCCTCTCAACCCCTAAAGCAACATCTTGGGGCCCAAAAAACACCTTCCTGGCCCTAAAAACCACCCTCCTGGTCCCAAAATACACTCTCAGCCCCAAAAAACAATCGTCCTGGCCCCAAAACTGACCCTCTCGACCCCAAAAACACTTTCCCAACCCCAAAGCCAACTTCTCTTGGCCCCAAAATACACACTCTCGACCCCTAAAGTAACACCTTTGGCCCCAAAAACACCTTCCTGGCCCTAAAAACCACCCTCCTGGCCCCAAAACACACACTTTTGACCCCTAAAGTAACACCTTGAACCCCAAAAACACCCTCCTGGCCCCAAAATACACACTCTCGGCCCCAAAATACACACTCTCGGCCCCTAAACTAACACCTTGGGTCCCAAAAACACCTTCCTGACCCCAAAACCAACCCCTTGACCCCAAATCCACCCT